GGTTAGGGACATAACTCAGTGAGCTGACTGTGTACTTTGCATGTGGGGCCCGGGCTTCTAACCCTAGCACAATCAGGAGTAACCCCAGAGCACCACTGGGTGTGGCCGGAAAAAAAAACAAAACAAAGTTTTGTAATTTTCAGGAAAATGTGAGGAACTCAAGGGGATTATGTAAAACAAAATAAATCAGAAAGGAAAAAGTTATTTATTGGATTATCGCATCTATGAATACAAAATTGATATACAGACAAAAAAAATATGCCTGTTGGCATTCACAACATAACTGAGGTTACCTGAGGGCAGGAAGGTGAGTGGTGGGAGAAATGGTGTGGGGTGGGGGGGCGGGTAGAAGAAAAGTTGGTCAGTATGATTCGTAATATTGGTAAATAAATAAAGAGTATACTCCCTCACTTTGGTTATATCTGGCTCAACTCCTGCCTCTCACTGTCAGTAGACACATGGCCTCATTTACCTCCTCTAATTTCCTTATCCTCACAGGATAAGAGACAAAAATAGTACCTGTAACTTGAGGGATAAATTGGGAAATGCTCATAATATGCCAAGCATGACTAGCACGGAGTTAGAGAGAAATCAATGTGATCACCTGCCTTGGCTACGAGCACTTAGTCATAAATCCACAGTCCAAGATCTGTAAGCACAGAGAGCTCAGCCTCAGGGTTCTTCCTTCCAGGTGGGGAGGTGGGACAGGCTGACCAGTCAGGAGTCAGGATATGGAAGCTCCAAGTTTCCAGGCCTATCCCCCTAAAAGCTGTAACTGCAGACACTTGTGCTTTTCTCTGAATCCCTCTGTTAGATTAATGAATGTACATGTTTGAGAACCTCTGCACTTGGAATTGCTATCATAAGCCTGTGCAGTGTTAGAGACGCTATATCACTACAAACTGTTTGGGGAGACAAAACTCCCACAAAAAGAATATGTAGACAAATATAAAGAATGGCTTTGGCGTATGTCTTCTTTCCACAGGAGCTAAGAGCTGTGAATACAGCCCTATATCCATCTCTAGTGTGCGTTCTCAGCACTGAGAACTGCCATCGAACCCCTCAGAATATTGATGAGGTCTCAGGGAGTCAGCAGATGCCCAGGTCTGCGACCTGAGCTCAGGACTTGTGTTCTCCCTGAGGAAGTATACCCAACACTGAGGCAAACACACCTTCGCCTGGAGCTTTTGGCACATCAGGGGCAAAGGCGAGCTCCTACAGGGGTACAGGATGGTAGCAATCACACCCTGGAACCCCGATGTGTGCACCTCTCCCCATCCTGTTCCTACTGGGCAGTTCCCTATACCCCTTCTATGCCTTCAAGGTTCTCTCCAGTTGCTCCTACATCCCCACCTCCACCTGCATGCCTCGAGCTATGTGCTTTCTTGGTGTCATCCACTTCTCAGTAAAACCTTCCAGGAATTTACAAGAATTTCAGTCTTGAAGAAGACTTACTTCTTCTCAGTCCAAGAAGACCCACTAAAATAGTATCCTTGATGAACTGTTTTAGGAAAAACTAAGTAGAAAATGTTTTACCTAAAGCAGCAATTTGGAAAAACCATCTCCTGATACACCTTCTTAAGTCATGGCAAATTTCTTCTCTGAATTAAAAAATGCTTATTACTTGGAGCAGAAAACTGAACGGACTATGCATTAATCCAGGCCATCATGTCTGTCCGGAGGGGAAAAGGTGTTGCCCCAGTCGCCTTCTCCTCTCTGGAAAGAAAGATGGCGGCCGCATGGGAGCCTTGTGGACAGCAGGTATGAGCCGGGGGAGTGGGGGCGACTAAAACCTCATGGAAAGGGCGGCGTTTCGGTCCGCCCTTCACGCCCTACTGAGGCCACCAGTTGCCCCCCACTAGCGGCTCTCCAGCACAGCCACAACTCCAGAGCACAGAAACCAATTTCTTAACTATCTGACTTTCAGTAGAAATACTTCCAGGGTCAATAAGTAAAATAGTAGAAATCCAAAACCAACATTTAATTCTTGAACCCAGCCGTAGAAAGCAAATCACTTCACAATGCTTTTTCAGCATGTCTGATTTGGGGGGGGGGGTAAACTCTAAATAATAGTGGTGAATCTTTTATTGAAACAATGAATCTAATCAAAGCAGATAGAGTTAACTAGAATTCATCTGCCCCACAGGGACTGGGAGGGGTGGGGGGTGGGGTTTTATTGGGGTTCTTCATGGTAAAAAATAAGTATTGGTAAAGGGAAATGTGTTTGATATTTGCATGACTGAGACCTAAACCTGAAAGCTTTGTAACCTTTCCCACGGTGACTCAATAAATAAATAAATAAAAAAGAAAAAAATGCTTATTATAATAATCATAAACAAGATCACTATGTTTATTCTGATCATCATAAACAAGATCCACTATGAGTATTCTAATTATCATAAACAAGATTTGCCAGGCTCTCAGAACAGTCCTGTTTAAAGTGGAAGAACCATAAACAAATGGAGTAATATAGGAGGGAAAATAGTCATCAAAAGGTGCTTTCCTAATTGTGAAGGCCCTACCCATAATTATTACAGTGCCAAGAGTAATATATATATGGTTATAAAAAGTAAACTCCAGTAAACACCTGCACCTTATTGTTATACATTATTAATATAAGATATTGTTATATGCCATTGGTAGTAAACATTGGGATGGTTTTGGCATTTGTTCACAGTGATTTACTCAGTCAAACCTGAACTTTCGTGTTTGTCACCAAACAGAACACACACCTAGCTCTGGCTGGAGTCCCTAGGTCTTGGGGTAGAGGGAGCTGCAGAGTAACGGGACAGCTGAGTTCTCCTTCGAGGTCATCAATTCAAGATGCCACCCTCTGGCTGTCACGTCCCTGGCCTAGCAAGAGGTCAGCCCTGGCTCTTGGGACCAGGACGTGTGGCTTCTGACCTGCAGCAGACCTCGGTCTCTAAATCCAGCAGTCTGGGGATTAAGTCAACCGTCCACTGTCTGGGACAGCCAGTTCCCAGTCTGACATCTGAGTCAGAGGGGATGCCAAGCTGTTGGCCTGCTGATCAGAAGCCAACACAGTGGCCACAGTCCTGAACTGGTCAGCTGGTGCCTTCTTCCTGTCAGACACAATCACCTTTAGTCAGTTGTTTTTATAGTCAATTGCATAGAGGGCAGAGATGGTGGAGCAAACACCTGTGCAAATGAGCAAGTCTATATCCAGCTTCTTGGCACCATGGCTTGCCTTCCTTCATCCTCCACAATGATGGACTCTCTTCTTATTATTAATTTTTTATTGATTGAACTTCTGTGATTTACAAGGCTGTTCTAGGTTGTTTCCCATGAATAGCATTCTAACAATACACCCATCACCAGTACACCTATCTCCTTTTCCCAAAGACTGCATTGCCCCTCTGATCCAACACACCCCTCCACCCTTCCACCCTGACTTAATTGTGTGGATTAATTAGTTCTTCAATTGAGTTGCTTTTGAGCCCCTGTTTCCACCTTGCTGTGTATCATTAGGTCTCACATATGAGTGAGATTAACCTGCATCTATCCATCTGTCTTTCTGTCTGACTTCCTTCAGCATGGTACCCGCTAATTCCAACTCTGTTTCTGAAAACTACATGATGTGCTTTTTGCTTTGTATTTTTCCTGCCATTTCTAATCCTCCAAAGAAGTGTTTCACAACCTTTTTCTCATCATGGATCCCTTCTGACTGTGTTACCTTCCTATGGGCTCCTGTCCTACTAATTGGCATCCTAGTTACATGCCATGCTCTCCCATTTTTGGAATTTTTACCTTTGGTCCCCTTGTAATATCCTGGGGGCCACAAGGGGGCTACATGGTTCCAGCTGGAAAATGTTTTCAGGAATCTAAGGAATTGCACTGCAGAAATAATATCTCAGTCCCCAATGCTGCTGCCCTTCCCACTCTCCAGCTGGGGAAAAGAAGCTCAGGATGAGAACACATGACTTTAAACAGGGAGCTCCAGCACAACTGCTGTGACCCCAGCCAAGCCCAACCTTCGGAAAGGTGAGAAAGTGCTCAGGAGAGGAGATGTGGCAGTGAGCCAAGGCTGAGCAGTGACCATGAGACGTGGCAAAAGCCATAAAGCCACAGTCTAGGGGTCTAGCCAGCCCTCTCATGACACTTGCCACCTTTGTCTCTGAATCCTGTTTTCTGATAGGAAACCTAAGTTCCATGACAAGTGAAAGAGAAAATGAAGTAGCCCCCACAGAAAATAATACTCTTCTTTGGAGAAGCACCCCCACTTTTTATGGTGTGGTGGATCAAACCTCAGACCTCACATAGGCAAGGCTGAGCTACATTTCTAGCCTAACGCCCTATTTAAGGGGGCATTGGTTTGTTTCACCTCTTCAAGTAAGGTGTCTTAGGTTTTTAGTGATTTAAAAGGGCTAAATTAAAAAAAGACACTAGAGATTTACTTCTAACATTGATGGTTCTCATGAACTGCATCTGCATGATCTCCAGGGAAGAACTTGTGGTAAGAATTTGTTCTTGGGACTGAAATGATAGTACAGTGGATAGGGAACTTGTCTTGTACATGGCCAACCTGGGCTGGATCCCCAAGACCCCTGAGTCCACCAGGGGGGATCCCTGAATTCATAGTTAGGAGTTAGCCCTGAGCACAACCAGGTGGGTCCAAAAACAAGAAAAGAAAAACAAAACAAAACAAAACAAAAAATGAATCTCTTTCCAATGAACCAAACTGGTCCTGCAATTTTATATCACTGCTCTTTTAGGGGGAACATTCTTTTCCTTATGACTAGTATGAGCAGCTCAGCTCTGTGGGCCAAATTCTGAGTTTGTGGGGTACAAGTGAATTGTGTTTGTGTTATTACAAATACAACAATAAAACATAATGCTGTGTTAACATATTTTATCACAATGTAATTATATGTTTAATTATAGTTAATATATTCGAGGAGGAGAGAACAGATAGGAAAGTCTGCTAAATTCCTTTTATTATGAGAATATCTTCCCAAAAATGTTCCAAGTCAGGTACTTACAGAGAGGGCCCACTTCTAGGAGATTGTCAAATGAGCAGCAGGAAGTTGTACCCAGTGTAGCTACCACCTGCAGAGTAAGAGTAAACCTTTTATAAAATTTCTAGCTTTTAGTCACTTAATAATACCTCCACATACCACCGCCAACCCAGATCAAGCCCAGGGCCTTCCTTGTACCTGGAACTCAATGAGTCTATGTTAAGTCAATGCTTTTCAGTCATTGGTCCACAGACCTACAGCCCTATCGCAGTGGTTATTAGCCTCTGGTCTTCAGACATAATTTGCAAGTGCTGAATGTTTTTTAAAATCCCTGGATAATTAGATAATGACATTTTATGAATGCATATTGAGTCTCTGGTGAAAGTATGCTAGATTGAGAGAAATAGATTTGCTGACTGGAAAAGAAGGACCAAAGTTAACCTGTGCCCAAGGATAGAAAGAGACGACATTGTCTCTGTCATTAATAATGTTAGGTGACTTTGAAGGACCATGGGATGATTTACTGTCTTATTGTTGCTTGTAATTTATTTTCCTAAATTACTGAGTATCTTAAGAATAACATATTTGTTCAGTAATTCTTTAAATTACATCTATTTTCCTATCAAGGGCATCCAGATAGGAAAGGAAGAGGTCAAGCTATTGGTATTTGTGAATGACATGATACTATACTTAAAAAATCCTAAAGACTCTACAAAAAAGCTCCTAGAAACAATAGTTTTGTATAGTAAAGTGACAGGCTACAAAACCAACACTCAAAAGTCCATGGCTTTCCCATATACAATAATGAAAGAGAGAAAAGAGATATTGAAAAAACAATTCCATTCACATTAGTACCTCACAAAATCAAGTGCCTCAGAATCAGCTTAACTAAAGAGGGGAGGACCTACACACACACACACACACACACACACACACAACTACAAAGCACTGCTTTAAGAAATAAAAGAGAACACCAAGAAATAGATACACATCCCCTGCTCTTGGATCAGGAGGATCAACATGGTCAAAATGGCTATACTCCCCAAAGCATTGTACAGATTCAGTGTGGTCCCTATAAGGATATCCATGACATTCTTCAAAGAAATACACAAAACTCCTGAAATTCATATGGAACAATGAAACCCTACAGATAGCTAAAGTAATCTTTGGGAAAAAAGAAGATGGGTGGCATCACCTTCCCCTCCCTCAAAATGTACTACAAAGCAGCAGTAATGAAAACAGCATAGTATTGGGCTAAAAACAGACCTGCAGACCAATGGAACAGAGTTGAATATTCTATCACAGACTCAAATATATGATCACTTGGGCTGGAGCAATAGCACAGCGGTAGGGCGTTTGCCTTACAAGCGGCCAACATGGCCGACCAGAGTTCAATTCCTCCGCCACTCTTGGAGAGCCCGGCAAGCTACGAGAGTATCTCGCCTGCACGGCAGAGCCTGGCAAGCTCCCCGTGACGTATTCAATATGCCAAACACAGTAACAACAAAGTCTCCAATGGAGACGTTACTGGGCCTGCTCGAGCAAATCGAAGAACAACGGGAGGACCTTTACCTTTACCTTTATCTTTAATTTTTGATAAAGGAGCAAGAACTGTGAAGTGGAGCAAGGAAAGCCTCTTCAACAAATGGTATTGGGAAGACTGGACAGCTACTTGCAAAAAATAAGTAAATAAAATGATTTCAGACCTCTCTCTAACACCAGGCAAAAAAGTCAGATCAAAGTGGATTAAAGACCTCAATGTCATACCTGAATCCATAAGGTACATAGAGGAAAATGTAGGCAGAACCCTCCATGACATTGAAGCTAAAGGCATCTTTAAGGATGAAACACCACTGTCCAAGGAAGTAGAAACAAACATAAACAAATGGGACTACATTAAACTAAAAGTTTCTGCACCTCAAAAGAAAGTGACCAGGTGACCGAAATACAGAAAGAGCCCAATGAATGGAAAAAATTATTTACCCAATAAGCATCAGATAAGGTGTTAGTAACCAGGATATACAAGACATTAGTAGAATTACACAAGAAAAAAACCTCCAACTCCATAAAAAAAATGGGGGAAAGAAATGAACAAAATTGTCCTCAAAAGAAATGCAAATGGTCAAAAGGCACATAAAAAATGCTCTACATCACTAATCACTAACATGAAAATCAAATCAACAATAAGATATCATCTTACACCACAGAGACTGACACACATCAAAAAAAGAACAAGAAGAACCAGTGCTGGCATGGATATAGGCACAAAGTGACTCTCTTTCATTGTTGGTGGGAATGCTGACTGGTCTAGCCTTTCTGGAAAACAATGTGAGAATTCCTTCAAAGACTAGAAATTGAGATTCCATATCACCCAGAAATACCGCTTCCAGAATATATGCCAAGGGTGCAAAAAAGCACAGTAGAAAGGACATCTGCACTTGTATGTTCATTGCAGCACTCTTCACAATAGCCAGAATCTGGAAACAACCTGAGTGCCTGAGAAAAGACGACTGGTTAAAGAAACTTCGGTACATAAGAGAGAGAAAAGAAAAGGGAATGCCCTGCCACAGAGGCAGGGTGGGATGGGGGGAATGGGGGTGAGTGGGTGGGAGGGATACTGGGATCCATGGTGGTGGGAAATGGGCACTGGTGGAGGGATGGGTATTTGATCGTTATATAATTGAAACCCAAGCACAAAAATTTGTAAGTCTACAACTGTACCTCATGGTGTCTCACTAATAAAAACTTTAAAAAAAAACTTTGGTACATCTATACAATGGAATACTATGCAGTTATTAAGAAAGATGAAGTCATGAAATTTGCTTATAAGTGGATGGACATGGAGAGTATCATGCTAAGAGAAATGAGTCAGAAAGAGAGGGACAGACATAGAAGGACTGCACTCATTTGTGGAATATAAAATAACATAATATGAGACTAACACCCAAGGACAGTAGAGACAAGGACCAAGTAGGCTCTGTGGTTGGAAGCCTACTTCAAGAGCTGAGGCAGAAGGCATTTGGGATAGCGAAGGAATCACTAAGTCAATGATGGTTGGAGGGATCACTCGGTATGACAGATATGTGCTGAAAGTAGACAAAGGACCAAACCTGATAGCCTCTCAATATCTTTATTGCAAATCATAATGCTCAAAAGTAGAGAGAGTAAGAAGGAAATTGTCCTCCATATAGGCAGGGGGTGGGGATGGGTGGGGGAGTGGAGGATACTGGTGACATTGGTGACAGGGACATTGGTGGTGGAAAATGTAACTGGTGGAGGAATGGGTGTTCAATTATTGTATGACTGAAAATCATGAAAGCTTTTCAACTATATCTCACAGTGATTCAATAATTTAAAAATTACATCTATTTTCCTCTAATGCAATAAGTTGTTTTTAGAAAAACATGTTAAAATTATTTTTCATATATTCATATGCATACAGAGAATAACTAAAATGAGTTTCATCAAATGCTAATTCTATTTTTGAAGCTATTTATATTTTTACCTTCTACTATGTTTTTGTTTCAAGTGTTGGGGATTGCATATATGGACGTGGTGCACTGACCATTGCACACTTAACGTTGTTGCTGGGGATTACAAGTAACCTGGATCTCCTTGAAGTGTAGAGCAGTGCCAAGGTTTGAACTCATGACGTCCAGCAGGGAAGGCAAGGGCACTACCATTGAGCTATGTCCAGGGCACCTAACTTGTTCCTTAAATGAGATTTTGGTTAACATCAAATTTTATTCTTATATTCTTAGTGTGATTATTACAGAAATTGCCATTTCTGTAAAATAATAAAACCCTACTTGGTTTTGGGTGTGGCTCAGTAGAGAGTAATGGGTAATGCTCTCTGAATATTCACTCTGTGTAGGCTTGTAACTACTCCTGTTTTCGAGTTGATTAAAGTGAGACCCCAGAGGAAGGTCTGGGAACAAAACAGGGGAGGCTCCAACTAGCTGTAAGTCCAGGTATGGACAGATACATCCAGCCAGTTACAAATTGCAGTGCCCTGGCATAAATGATACATTCCAGCGCCCCAAGTCCTTTATAGCTTAAGAGGAAGGCCACAGGGAGCCAGGATTTCATGGATGATGTGCCAGGCTGGCAAGCAGGCAGGGCACAGTGTTCTAGATGGTGACAAATAAACTTATCCTAATTCTCAAGCCACTTTAAAGCCCAGCACCTGCTCCACTCTGAATTCTGACTGCCCAGATCTGCTTAGTGACGCTAACCTGATTTCAGATGCTCTGCAGAGGCGTAATCACATTTGTGCAGGGGGAGAGTGGGAGGGAACACAAGGGTTGTGCAAGATCATCATCTCACAGAGCTCCTGGCCTTTTTGCCATCTGAGGCAGAGCTTCTTCCCCATCCTTCCTACCCATGACAAATAACAGATAGACAGACAGACAGCTACGCCCACAGGCACTTCCTTTGGCATATCAAGCTGTCTTTGGGAAAGGCATACTCTCATGAGGAAGAAATAAAATTTATTTCAGCCCCAGGAAATTTGTTCAAATTTACCCGATTTAAGTCTCCCACATGTGCATCTAGCTCTCTCCCCAACCTGGTAATCACTGATTTTCATTAAGGAATCATGATTTACAAAGTATTATTATTCTTTACATTTGCAGTGCTACTTCACTTTGAGGGTTCTGCATGAATATAAAGAAGAGTCTTCATTTCAGAACGGTGCATATAGGTATTATGTACATACATAACTGTAACAATAGTCTCATGTTTCAGTATGAATAACTGGGCAGTCAATAATCATAGGATGTTTCTTCCCACTTATGAATAATCTCTATCTCTAGTTTTAAGTCCCCTGACTGCCCATCCAAGATAACAAATCAACTGCATATCCTGGAATATTCTAGAACCTCTCTACTGTTGCATACTGGTGTTTCAGTACTCTCTTTTCCAAAATGAGGCATCTGGTATCTGCCTGTCTCTGGGCCACATCTGTGTGATCCCTCAGAAACAGCTGTTTCTGTTTCTTCCAAAATTTCGATCACTCCCTGTCCATGTTCTATTACCCTTCTCATCAAGTAGAGCAAAGATTGGAGAATGTATTATCTTCCTACAGGGTCA